ACCTTAGGGTGTACCGTTTTTAGGGCTTATCACTTTTGGAGTAATTGATACTTTGCCACTCCAAGGGCAAATCAATCTTTCGCCGTATTCCAATGTTATATACTAATTTTTCAAATGTTGAAGTCAGCAATGATTGGATAAAAAGATCTTTAAGATTATTGGTAGACTAAATCTGTTTAACGTCAACTTGTCTACTTTCTTAGAGTTTGAAAGTATAGAAAAATTTTAAAAAGATATGCTTGGTCATATCACCTTTAATATATTCTTCCCTGACTTGTACAACACAAGGAGCATTATTTTCATAAATTATAGTAGGAAAATTTGTATCAGTGTTAAACAACAAAAATTATAAATATGCACTATAACAGATCTCAACCAAACACACTTTCTTCCATGCTCATATAGAGTAATAATTTTGTAATAATTGGAGCCTGTATCTATTAGCCTTTGCTTAGTAAAGCGTCAAAAAATGACAGTACCATTATAGCAAAATAAATAACTAGTTTAAGAGTGAGTCTTGTACGAATCAAATTTATATCCTGTATCCACGTATCCAACTAAATCAGAGTTAGTGAAATCTTTGAAAGACTATAATCCAAAAAAAATAACTCTTATTGACTTGGAAAGAGAGCATCAAAATTTAAAGAAATATCTCATGGAATACATCCAATGCTTCAGAGAAAGAATGCTAGACATACAAGATTCTCATGATGAATAAGAACTAGTCATCTGCATTCAAGGTATGTTTGATGAATATAAGGTACATTTGAAAAACTTACCTTTTCCTACTTTAGCCACTTTGGTCAAAGCTAGTCATTTTGAGAGGAAAGATACCTCAACAGTAATCACAATTCAAGGACAAGGTAGAGAAAGAAGAAACCATCAACCTCCCTTAGGTCTTAAACAATCTAAAAAAAAGACATGAAAATGAGATTGATTCTCTACCACCATTCTCAATCTCATTAGACAAAGTGAGAGCGTTTATCCACGAATGGATAAATGATGGACAAGTAAACTTACCTTATGTTTCACAGCCACCAACAATAGAAGAAAAGTCCAATCCAAGGCATTGTGATTATCACTGTATAGTTGGTCATTCACTTGCTGAATGTAAAGATCTACACAAAATATTTTATAAAAGAGTACAAGAAGGAGAAATAATGGTTGGAAACAATAGGATCTAGAATAACTTGTTCTTATTCATCCATGATATGTCTATGATTTCAAATATTGATTATTTCATGTATTCAAAATTTGATGTTTGCAAAAGAGAAAAGTTATTTTTTAACTGTAAACTTTATCGCTCTTATTTTGGTTGTAATGTTATTGTTGTTTGGTTGCAAGCTTTATCGCTCATTCTTGGACCATACAATTCATTACTCATATTTTAGTTGTAAGCTTTATCACTTTTACTTTGGTTGTAACATTATTGTTGTATTTGGTCGCAAGCTTTATTGCTCATTTTTTGACCATATAATTTATCACTCATATTTCAACCACAAGCTTTAACTCTCATAATTTGGATGTAATGATATTATGCTATTGGCTGCCAGCTATATCGCTCACTTTTTGACCATAACTTACTATTCACAAATAGGCCGCAACATTAAATGCTCATATACAGGATATGTTATTCTTATTCATACTAGGTTGAGGATTATTCTCTTTAATGTGAATGTGAAGTTGAGAATTCTTTCTTGGCAGCACACAGTGATACATGTAAAATATTCATATGTTTGCAAAGAGTAAAACATGGAATAAAGTATCTCAATTTGTAAGACAAGAAATACAATCATGAAGAAAGCAAAGTAAGCATTTACTATAGAAAACAAGTCTACAAAAGAAGAACAAGAAGTTCAAAGTGAAGGAAGATCTATCATTCTCAAAATCGAAAAGGCTGTCTAATCTTCTTCGCAACTCTTTCTTTCAATCTCTCACTAAAACCATTTATACGCTCCAAAAGCTTCAAGTTTTGCAACAAGATTAGAATGTTGTAAAAGTCTTCCAAATAAGTGTTAGAAGCATTAAGTCAACGACCTATCATTAGAAAAGATAACACAGGGAAATAAAAAGCATTACGAGTTGTATTAAGAACATATCCAAGAGAAGTATTGTGATTTATATTCAAAACACTTAAGAGAAAAAGAAGTATTGTGAGTTATATTGGAACACCTTCCAAAAAAAGAAAAATATTGTGAGTAGTATTCAGAACACCCTTAATAAAAGAAACATTGATGGAACGCCTTTTATCTAGAGTGGTTTCACTACAATTACGATCTCAATAATAACCAGCGGACGCACATAGATGCCTATTCAGTTGTTTTACATGCACTATTTCTCAAAAACAATCATCTCCTCCTTCCCTGATGAGACCATATTTCAATTTTCAAGTATAGAAGAAGTTTCACTAGTCCTTCCTACTCGCATTTTATTAGAAAGAGAAGATGTAACAATGTTCTTCCTACTTGCATTTTCTTAAAAAGAGAAGATGTAGCAATATTCTTCTTCTTTTCAGGAGCAAACCTACCATACTCACCATAACGAACTTTTTGGCACAAAATGAGTCTTAGTCATCAAATGAAAAAGTGAAACTTTTAAACAATAAGCATATAAGTATTCATGCATTATCATTGCTCATGCATTACATTATTCCATGTTTGTTTGTTTATTCATATCTTTATAGTAATGTCCCATGTTTGTTTGTTTATTCTTATCTTTATGTCAAATAAAACATATAGGAGAATATATACATCATTAAACATATACATAAGAAAAACCTTATTGAGATGCTAGTTTCGTAAAAAAATAAATAAATAAATCTTTTTTATGAAAAACTATATTGCAAAAAAATATAAAATATAAAAAAATAAAATCTTTTATGTCTCCCTTATAAAAGTAATATTTAAAAAAAGAGAAACAAGAAGAAACAGTATAAAATATATATATTACAAAAAAACTTACTTGTTCAAATAAATTTTAGAAAAATTTTATGTGATTATAAAACTATTTAAAACAAATAATAAGGCTTTCGAATGTATGTATGTATATATATATATATATATATATATATATATATATATATACACGAGCGTTTCTAAGCATATGGCTCATTAGTTGATGCATGATCTCTCTGCTTAAAAGAATAAGGTTCGAATGGCCTTTTTCCCAAATCTATATATATATATATATATATATATATATAAGCGTTTTCTTGCTTATTACTATATGCTTAAAATTTCAATAGATGTGTTAAATTGTTTTATTGGATCAAATAAATGTCATGTTATATTATGAGTTAATAATTAAGATAGACCACTAATAGACACATCTCATGATTTAATTTTTTAAAAATTAAAATTTTTTAAAATAAGTTTCAAATTTTTTGAAAATAAAAAGTTTAAAATTAAAAAAAAAAAATCTTTTTTACCCTTTTTGCTCTTCATACTATGCCATCACCAAAATTCAACATCATCCAAATTGATGGTAAAACTTAACATTGTTATCAATTGTTATTAAATTAATTTTTAATAAAAATATATAAATTAAATATTTTAAAATTCAATAACAAGCATTAAGTCAAGCTTGAAAATCCCTAGTTGAGTCTTGTCAAGCATTACGAGTTCCCCCCTGCGGCCCTGCCCCCCCTCCTCCGGCTCCCACGAGTCCCGGTTCCCCCCTGCGGCCCTGCCCGCCCCCCTCCGGCTCCCACGAGTCCCGGTTCCCCCATGCGGCCAGTCGGGCTGGCCCGTACCAACCCGGATCAGCCTTCGGGCCTAAACGGGCTAGCTCGTTTAGGCCCGATTTTAATACGGGCTTAAATTTTTAAGCCCGGCCCGTCCCATATTTTAAAAAAATGGACTGGCCCGACGGGCCAAGCCCATTTTGACAGGTCTAAACTTGTCATCAGACGAGTCTCTTACTACCCTGGAAGTCCTATGCCAACCAAAAGCTAAAAGGCCAATGGGGTAATTAATTGCAGCATTGACAAGGTTGAACTTTGAGCCTTTCAGTAAGGCTTAGAGTTAG